TGTCGTGACAGCGAAAAAGGGTTTGTCAAACTATTACGATCTCCCAATGGAGTGATGCAGTCTTGTTTAATTTACCTAATATATGTTTTTACAATGCGGCTAAGCTTCTAATAATTGGTGAATTATTGTCAGTTTGATCTAAAATGTGGAAGTGGTAATCGCGTATATGCCCTCATAACCCGATGCTTATTTATAACGATTTAAAAAAGAAATTGAATTATATAAAATACAGTTTATCGCGATATACTTATTTAATTGTATTCATTTGAGATATTATGCCCGAAACAAATAAAAAAAACTTTAAATGGAACGCCAATGTATTATTCATACAGTCATATTGGTTCTATTTTAAATTACCTCAATAATGAACCACATTTAGTTTTTTGAACCACAGTTAATTCATTTTTATGGAACAGGTATTTCGCATTACTAATCAGCAGAGTTAATGATGATTTGTCACTTAATTACGAGCTCATAACATGTTTATTATGTAAATGTATCGAAATGCGGCGTGCAGTAATATTGAAATTTGCATATTGTTCACATTTACCCAATGTTATATTGTAGAACCAAATTTGCAGCCTCTTACACTTCTCACATCAAAATATTGAATATTACATCTGTGATCACCTTGACAACATCAACATGAATATATTTGTAACAACATTTTGTTTTTCCAAGAAGCGAAGAAATTCAATCTTCTTATTGCTATGTTACGTCAATCAATCTTCAACAATTCCGCGACTGATCGATTATATCTAAATATGTGTCGCATTTTACTGCGCGTTGTAAAATTATGAATTCATTTATGTTATATATGTCTTTCTTATCTGAAAACCCTAAGCAAAACAAACAAACAAACAAACAAAATACAATAATCGACATCTCGATTCCGTCACGATAATTCAGTAGTATAGTGGTACGTGGGTGAACGTTCTGTTATCTTCCATTCCTATGCCTTGTCAACGACCACAACAAACTACGCGTCTAGTTGCGGATGTGAAAATGCTTCTGACGTATCGTGCCCCATATTGAATGAAAAGACTCGATGTTTAGCTACCGGCAGCCACTTCGAACGGAAATTACGTGACACTAAGAGCCGGAAGTGTACATGACTATCCCAGGGTAATAGAGTAACTCAATTACAGGAAAATTCTTACCTTTTTTTGGAAATAATAAAAATCCAATTTAAAGCGTTTTCATAGTCATTTCACCGAGTATCCTGGAACAACTTGACCTAAATTTATCATGTAATTTTTTTTGAACACGACAGGTAACGAGAGTTTAGCCTGATGACAGCAGTTGAAAAAGAGTACGTACTGCACACCTGTCAGTCTCATGGCATTCAGGGTTGGTGATACGGTGACCAGACGGACGGGATGTAAACATGTCGGCCCTGTGTGCGGTCCCTATCCCCAGCGGGGTGACTAGAACTGATCCTCATACCAGACAAATAAATAAATAAATAAATAAATAAATAAATAAATAAAAATACGAACGACAGAATGAATGAATGAATGATTAATTTCTATCGTCTAGGTTTTCAATACAAAACAACTCAAACGTTTTCATATATGCACCACAGCATGAGTATAGTAATACAGTTAACATCTTAGTTTTATTGCTAAATAGAATAGTATATTTCTGTCTTCAGAGCACTTTCGCTACGCATTTTGCGCCTTTGTGAATTTTGTAATTTCAATTTTACAATATCCCACCACCACGATTTACAACTTAATAATGACGTTTTGCGCTCGAACGCTGATAGGGGTCATAGGTCACCAATTTAATCTTTATTTCATTCAGACGAGAAATTATTATGATTGAAGTTTTCAATATATTTAGCGTTTAGAAGGAGAGCGATTCTCTTCCATGGACGTATCACAATGGTTCAATTCCCTCTTCTAAATTAAGGTCTTTGATTAATGTTCTGGTATCATGGTCATTCATTAATTTTATACAGAATGCACCCCGCTGAGACATTTGCCTTTAAAATTGACCACGGAGCAAGACATGTCGTAGTTGGCTACCAGTGTCGTGTGACAGAACCGTCACGCTGGGAATTTATAAATTGTCTGTACGCAATAGTCTATTGTATCAGAGACAATAAAAAAATATGTCTTCAGCATGCATAAGCAATTTTACTCACTGAAAATATTATTTTATTGAAAACGATTACTTCTTTTAGTAATAATCATTATTTGCCTGGGCATTTAATGCACTAGTAGTTAATGTAGATTTTCACCTGGAATTGCGGTCGAGCGGTTGTTGTTTTCTTCTCTTTATTCAAATTTAGTCACGCAAATCGAAAACTGCCATAAATTTAATTCAAAATGTATACATAGTCGTATTTACGTATTCCAACATGTCTTGTAAGTCTATAACGCAATACGCGCAGTTACAGATTTCTCAGCTGGTTGTGGAATATTTAGACGCTAGGCTATGCTATGAACAGTTCATTCAATGGAATTTTGAAATTTATAACAGGTCTATTGTACTTTCAATTTTTTTTTATATTGCGTGTGCGTACGAAAACGTGTACTGAATAAATTCAAAATATCTCTGGTAAATAGATTGTGTACAGACTAGCCACAACCAAATAATGTATCATATACTAATTCTGTGGCTGATTTTGTTTTGTTTTCCGTCTACGAAGACCGAAAAGTAGACAATCATATATTTAATCAAAATATGAACAATAAAGCAATTTTTCTATAATTTCGAATACCTTATTTTTAATCAAACCAACTAGAATACGTGCTTGATTACACGTATGTGAGCTTTGATATTAAATTTCAAAATCACGCAGGAGTTCCCATAATTCACCTGCAATAATCACTCATATCTATAAACTGCATTTCACAAGTCGCCATTCGGCGATAGACACCCATTACTCAACTTCCGCCTAATTGAAAAGTGATGGTAACATTGAAAAGCAAAGTATATAAAAAAAATTGTTAACGCAAATAATGATAAAACTCTATAACCTGTCTGATCATGATAATACCTCTGCACATTCACCATCTGGCTACACACATGGAGCTTTATGCTGCAAACAACTCCCAAAATAGTTTACACAGTACATACGGCATCACTTTATTCTCAAAGGTTGCTGCAGCTATAAAAATGAACATTTTGTATAATATGGTACAGACTGACAGACAGACAAACAGACAGACACAGAGAGACCAAGCATTTTACACTGTGCTCTGTTTTACCTTTCTGTTATTACATATCTATGAACGTAACACCATGCATGTATCAAATCATGTGCTCTATGTGGTGGAAAGTCTGTTCATGAGTATTTAATGCGCAGTGTAGCGCATGTGCACATGATTGTGAAATATACAAGTAATACTTAGATCGAGCGACAGGTGATGCGGCTTTCAACGATGCGTTACCAAACAAACAGGCTTGTTCGAAAAAAACTCATTTCGGGCACTAAAGTTGTTGAAATAATCCATGACAAACAGTTATTATATAATGAAGTCAATGTTCAGTATGAATAAAATCCATTTTTTGTAATGTACTATGTGTTTCCAAGGCATGAGACCCACATGTTAAAGCGGGGGAGTCGTCACCTACGCATGCGTCAGGTAGCCATAGCGTGTCATTATTTACAATAATGCGTCTACCCATGAGCCTTTGCTTTCTTAGCGTGTGTTGTTATCATCGCTTGGGACTCAATTCTCGCGCGTGCGCAGGTGACGACCCCCACGCTTTAAGATACAACTTCGCCTAACAATAGTTTCCGCTGCATTAAGATAGTTATGTTCAAAACAACGGTAATAAATCTGTAGCCACAAATTCCCATTTTATTTACATTACATTTTTGATGATATTTTCATTAACATTATTGGGAATTTGGTGGTCATATTTGTATTAGTAAATCCATTATAAAATTTGTAGATATCCAACATTCAAGTTTTATTCATAACATTGATATTGTAGATCGTATCAAACTCACAAATCTCCACACACAATTACAGCTTTTACGCCCTCTTTAAGGGTACGTACCACATTTACACGGAGAGATATGCATTGCGCGCTACGTTTTTATATTGAGGCAAAATTATTATTGAGAATAATAACTATACCTACTTAATATGATTTATATTCAATAACACTAATTCTCTTAACATAATTAAAAGCGTCATAGTCGCTGTGAGCCGTTGTGTTGGATACGACATATACAACGCATATACAATTATTCTTTGTAGATAACAAAGTCAAAACTGCAATGAAGCGGAGGGTCGTCACCTGCGCGGGAATTGAGTTCTAATTGACGATAACAACGCGCGCTAAAAACGCAAAGGCTCAAGGGTGGACGCTTCTTTGTAAACAACAACACGCTATGGTCTGTCGCATGCGCAGGTGGACGACTCCCCCACTTAGAAGAAAATTTGAAAAGCAGAGCTTTTCACACATAAAACAAATGATTAAAGTACTCAAAATATTTTGTCTAATTTGTAAATCAATCAGTGAACACCATTTTCATAAATGCTAAAACAAAAATCACGAACCTATGAAATAAAAATTGTTTTACAAAATAGAGAAAATTCCATTATATTAGATGCCCACGTAAACCCGAGAACAAAACAAATATTCGACAATGCGTATACCACAAGTTGAGCAAGTTACGGTTAGTATTCCTGGTGGGTCGGGCAGAAAAAGAGTTAACGTGTGAAAAAGTCAAATTAAACAAGATCCCATCGTTTGCAAGAAACGTGCAATTATACTTATTTCTAGAATCGTCGTACAAAAATGATCTGATCATGACATGACAAATTTCTGTAACCACTTGTTAATGAGCGAAAAATACAAAAAAAACTGTATGTTTACAATACATACAACTAAATTTTAGATTCCGAACAACCATTGCCACAATAAACATGTACTCCCACAATTAGCAGAGCAATTTGAACGAGCGTATTTAATATAAAATAATCAAGTAATCAGCCTAATTAAAATATTCACTAATTATTTTCATCTCTTTCTAGCTGGTACAAGTTCCACGTGGCTAGCGGCATGGAATGTGGCGAACTGCATACAAGGAGCCGGTATTTTGAGTTTACCGTACGCCGTTAAGGAAGGAGGGTACGCGGCTATAATAACACATCTTATGTTAACTGCCTTCGGATGTTATACTTGTAAGGTGAGTAGATATAGTGAACATTATTAACGGTTAAATCGGCACCTGTGTACACCGTTCGCTCTAATATGTACCTCCCATAAAACAACAGGTGAGCTATGAAGTAGTAGTTCTACTTAACGTCTTTAGACCGTATGATCGATTCGCAATAAGTTCGCTGTTGTATAGCGCCTTAGGCTGGATATTATTCACAACACGAATAATAACACATAACTCGTTTTATAAATAGTAGTAGCGACTGTTTGGCATTTGGTTTGTTTATATGTTTTAAAAACGGGTAATAAAAAAGTTTTTAGTCAACCTAAAGGTGATTTTTTTTATACTTCAAATCGAATTAGTGAAAAACGCAAATTGTAGACCATTGCACAACATTTGTCGTAAGATACTCATTTAAAACGCCACAGCCGTCATGCGGCGCGCGTTTGGATTCCGCGTAAACAAACAATACAATTCACACGTGTTGGAGCCACGCGAACACGAGGCGGCGCGACAACTGTGGTGCTTTAATTAATTCCGAAATTACCATCTTTCTAATAACTATTCAAAATATGTTACCGTATTATACTAATTAATCTGATATATGCACAACCAGACAGACTAACAATAAAATATAGATAATATTGAATTAAAAAGCGTATGTTCTTAATTATTCAATTCAAATAAAAGATAAAGTATATGGATTATTATAATCTAAGGAACATATTGGGTATTTAGAATCTGAAAATCAGAAAAAAATACACACTGATATGATACGTAATACAAAATGGCTAATCTAGCCATATTACATCGCAACTATAGCTGGGTTCAGGATATCTTCTTATCTACAAATATCCGCGATAATACAAGAATAATGTAAAATACCTCCACCGTATTCCGCAACGATAGAAGCCTCATTATCTCAGCCGACAGAGCTCCTGTTTTTTATCTATGCTTGTGACGTCACACAGTGGAGGAAATATCAAAATGCAACGAGCATTATTACGCAATTTTCAAAGCGACTAACCGGTGGACGTAACAGTGTTGGAGTAATCAGAGTAATTTAACAGGACTGCCAAACGCGATATCTGTCGATTGTTTTAACCTGCCTAGCTTTTAAATAGCTAAGCGTCTGCATACAACCTGTCAAACTTGCTAATAATATAGATTATGATATCAGTTGCGATGGCAGTTAAATAGGTTGCTAACACGGGGAATCTCCTATGCCTGCCGTGGCTTCGGATATGCCGATGATGACCCCCATCAATAAAGACCATTTAGACCACACACACTGGGGAATCGAGCGCATCTCTAGGGCTGTATGTGGAGTCGCCAGAGACAAAGCTAATATTTGCAGAAACAGAACGTTCATCTACAAAAGCGAATGGGAAATGAATGGGAAAGTAATTATTATTTGCGTCTCAAGTCTTTTTATATGGTAAACGTGACCTTAAAATATTCACAGTATTTCTTCAATGAAGTGCAATGGTACTTTCACGCCAAATTTTAGAAAACGTGATGTAAGTTAGGAATTATAAACATCGCATTGTTTCCAGGGAACGCAACTTTAAAAATAAATGCTTATGTTCAACAAATTATTATAATTACTGACATTGGTACTTTGTCGTAAATCTTGCCATGGATTAAGTGAATTTTATTCGCCATAGTACAGACAATACGTGAGTGAGTCCTACTGAAAAAAGCCCCATTAAAGAAACTACTAGTGAAAATCAATTGAATTACTGAAATCGTTATCAGTGCTCTTAAAAAGCCTCCAAACATGTGGTAAAAAAGGATAATTTTCTCATAATAGTACTGGAAATTTCTGATTTTAAATAGACGTTCCTTCTGAGTTCCGGAACACAAAAAAGATTTTCTCCATAGAAACCCGACAAATATAACTAAAATATAGTCGGTCTAGAGCATGGTTGCGAAGTTCAAGTGTAAGAGTTCCATCAAAGGTTTGCACAAACTGTAACCATCACAGTGGAAAGATATTTGATCTTTGTAGCACAAATATTTGATAAATTTAGTTTGTATCCGTTTATATTTGGCTATTGAATATTTCTTCGACGATGACCAAACATGAGAGAAGTTCACCAGGTTACTACACACAGTAGAAATTAGAAGCACAGTGGCTTTAAAACATCGTCAACAAGAGAACGTGTACATTTGAGGAGACCTGGCAATTTGAATGCTTTGGTAACAATACGACCAATGTGTATACTGAAATTGAGATTCTGAGTTAACATGATATCCATCTCTTCAACAAAGTTGATTATATCAATGGAAATACTATTAATATACTGACTAATGCTCCACGTGAGCTCCATAGGCTGCCACGTGAATGTTATGTTGACTGAAATTGCGGGTTCATAGAAATTTTTCTATATCGTTTTGTCAATATGTTCGCAATATTTGAAGAAAAAAAAGGTTTATTGTTTAATTTAGGTCTAGTGCGTCATCGACACTCTAGTAACTGTTGATTAGAACTGTCCGATTCCGCTACGATGGGGTGAAATTTCTATCAAATCGCGTACGTTATATCATACGAAAATTGCTCTTTCCACTCATTGTGTAAACGCGATGACAGTTTTACCAACATGGCATGCGTGCATTTGTATTTTCAATCCATTAAATAGAGACTTTAAAACATACTGTAAATTATGTAATTGAATGACACGTCACTCAATCTTCATCTGGTCTCAAGCTGAGTGAATTGTAATGTCGTTGATAACACGTAATTTTACTTCCAGAATAAAAGTTCACATTTCACATATTTGCGATATTGTGGATTGTTATACATCATGACCATGACAACCACTCAGACTCTTATGTGATTCATGTGTCTACCTGACGTATTCAACGTCAAACCGAGTCCCTCCTCGCTAATTTATGCCAATAACTTGTCAAGCGCTCACGATACGGGGCAATATTCATGAATAAATTAGTTTTCATGCTTGCTTTCACTGTTTGACTATCTCAATGGAGAGAAAACTTGTTTCTTTTAGCGACCACGCGTGATTGTTTGTCGCGCTTGCTGCAACTTTTGCCAATGCGCTTGGCTATTTGCTTTGAGACACGCGATTTACGCCAGACCACTAGTGGTCTGAGATCTACGCTTCCGCAACTCGTCTCTCTAAAGAATTTGAGAGTCGTGGTCTTTGCCGCGGAACAGCGCCACTGTGTTTGAGTTTGTTACGTACTTTTTTTAAGTTTTTTAAAAGTACATCTAAATATTATGTATAGTGTATTTGTTGAAAGAGAATGGTAATCGTTATGACATCAGGCTGAAGCTGCGGAAATTAGGTTTATAAAACCATGAACGTAGAAAGGCGTCCATAATAAAAGTCAAATTTCAACTCTCACAACATTAAAATTTGTGTGCATGCATGCGTTCAGCTCTACGAGGATTCCCTGGGAGATTGACTGCCACAATGTTTTAAGAGATATTCGGTATAATAATACAAATGTTCACAGCCGCGTTAGACATACATTTTTAGTCACCCTTAGGGCTCACTGTTAACCTCGTCTTCGTCTCGGCTGACAATAAGCTCTTTGGGTCGCTAAAACTTTATGTCCACCTCTGTTGGGACGAATATTTGTATAATATCAGTGAGTACTTTAGCGAGTTAGCCAATACTAATAATAACGTAAACTAATATCAGTGGCTTCTTTGTCGAACTAGCTATTAATAACTACAGCTCGGAGAATATATCATATAAAACAGCGCCGTTATACAAATAAATGACGCTGTTTCATATTATACATTTAACTGTCTGAAAACTACTTGTGGTTTTTACTAATGGAATGCCATAGCAGTGTATATGATTGACAAGGAAGGGTAAAAGTTGCATTCTAAACCACAGACATAATGATCTAAATACATTTATAAAGTAATGCATTACCATACATCATTCATACAAACTCAACACTCATTGTACGCTTTATATAATATTATGAATGGGTATTCACATCTATCGCCGATGGTTGAATGTAATTATCGAGTAGACACAATGCGCTGATGATATATTGCAATGAATTGCAACATCGCGGAGACGTGGGAGGATACAATTGTACCGAGTTGGTCTTTGAGCCCGCGCCCACGTGTTAGCGACAATCAGAACAATGTGCAGCAAAACCTGAAGAATTGGACAATTCACTTGTTTCCTTGTAACCAGCCACATCAAAACACGGAAGATCAGTCGTGGCATTTACCAGACAGCTATAGAGTTAATGGAGACACGTGCATGGACAGGGGCACGTGGATCAACCTAAAGAAAATTGAACCCCTATCGTCCAAATCGTGTTGCGTAAAAGCCCAGACCCACCTCGAACTGAAGAGGCTAGCCTGCGCATCTGTTGAAAAAGGAAACAAACGGAAATGCGTCAAGCAGTTTCCGGACTTTTTTTCGTCGACGAGCCAAATTAGACGGTTTCGCATATTCCACGCGGTTGATTTGATGAGATAAAAAATCGCCGTCTTAAGCCACGCTGCGTTAAGTAGTGTGAGGGGATTAAGGGACTTACATAAGCTCATAAATTCGATCATGGCGGGAAAAACACAGTGATAGATAAGGAAAATCGTACTCTGTAGTTTAACCAGAGATAGATAGAGTGTAGATCTAACAAACAATCCCTCATCCCAAGGTACCACAACGTGCTTTGCCTAACCAATGTTGTAACCACTCGATATTGTTGCCAGGATACATATTTATATCTAAGATACTTAGAAAAGATGTGATTTATGATACGAACATCATAATCAATAATTTATTGAACATTTAGCTTCATTTTGGATGATTCCCCGCCACTCCGTGACTTGTTATCCCAGATTTAGTTTGATTTACGTTTTGACGAATAAACTAAACCACAAGTAACTGTAATTTGAACAGTTACAATTGTTTGTCGGAACATTAAAGAAGTGTTTGTCCATTCTTCACAATTACAATATCTGTATAAGACATCTCATTAATATTCAACGTGCGTGTGTTATTGATGCTGTGCTATGTGTCCTCCATAACTTT